CGAGCTGGCGGCGCGGCTGCTCTTCAGCACGGTGGAGTGGGCGCGCCACGCGCCCTTCTTCCCCGAGCTGCCGGTGGCCGACCAGGTGGCGCTGCTGCGCCTCAGCTGGAGCGAGCTGTTTGTGCTGAACGCGGCGCAGGCGGCGCTGCCCCTCCACACGGCGCCGCTGCTGGCCGCCGCCGGCCTGCACGCCGCGCCCATGGCCGCAGAGCGCGCCGTGGCCTTCATGGATCAGGTGCGCGCCTTCCAGGCGCAGGTGGACAAGCTGGGCCGCCTGCAGGTCGACTCGGCAGAGTACGGCTGCCTCAAGGCCATCGCGCTCTTCACGCCAGGTGAGTGCCGCGGGAGGGGGAGGCCGGGACCCAGCCGCTGCCCAGATCTGGCGCCCTGCACGGGCCCACCAGCGCTGGAGGGGAGGGGGGCTAGGAGTGGGTGTAGGCAGTGTGACGCCCTGACGCCCCTGCTCCCCATCCCAGCACTCCCTGAGGACTCGGCGCCCAGCCTTCTAAACCGCAGGCTGGGCCTGGACCTGTCACTCAGGTCCCCATGGCCTCTTTTCCGATTCCTAGGCACCCCGAGACCCCCACCGCCTCATCAAAGTGCCCTTCGTACCCAGCGAACACTGACAGCAGAATGGGATCGGGGAAGGAAGGGACGTGGGAGGGGCGGTCCCTGACACCTAGTTCTGGTCCCCTCGGTTCCTCCCTGCCTGATTCCTGGGCCCTAAGACCGCTGAACCAGGCATCCAGGGCAATCTCCAGGTGGCCAAGACGGCACTGGATGGGGTAGGGGCGTGGCTCGGAGGCCCTCCCGCTGGGGCGGGGCGGAGCCGGGTCTGAGTACCTTCCTGGTAACCCTCCAGCAGTCCTTTCCCCGCAGTATTCCAGTACGCCAGTCGCTGGCGGCGCAGCTAGTTCTGTTCTTTGGACAAGTCTCCCCAGCCTGTCCCCCAGGGGTTACTTCACCCAGTGGAAGACTCCAGACCCCACCAGATGCGTCCTTGGGGCCAGGGCTGCAGGAACCAGACCCAGGCCCCTCTAGGAGGTGGCTTTCATTCGATAAATACAGCCTAGTCCCTCCCTTCTTTTCTTTTTTTTTTTTTTTTTAAAGATGACCGGTAAGGGGATCTTAACCCTTGGCTTGGTAGTGTCAGCACCACGCTCAGCCAGTGAGCAAACCAGCCATCCCTATATAGGATCCGAACCCGTGGCCTTGGTGTTAGCAGCACCACACTCTCCCGAGTGAGCCACGGGCCGGCCCCTCCCTTCTTTTCTTTTTTTTTTAGAGAAGACCGGTAAGGCGATCTTAACCCTTGGCTTGGTAGTGTCAGCACCACGCTCAGCCAGTGAGCAAACCAGCCATCCCTATATAGGATCCGAACCCGTGGCCTTGGTGTTAGCAGCACCACACTCTCCCGAGTGAGCCACGGGCCGGCCCCTCCCTTCTTTTCTTTTTTTTTTAGAGAAGACCGGTAAGGCGATCTTAACCCTTGGCTTGGTAGTGTCAGCACCACGCTCAGCCAGTGAGCAAACCAGCCATCCCTATATAGGATCCGAACCCGTGGCCTTGGTGTTAGCAGCACCACACTCTCCCGAGTGAGCCACGGGCCGGCCCCTCCCTTCTTTTCCCAGAAGACTTTCTCTGCCTCTCTCCTCCATGGGTCCCCCTCTAGACACTGCCACATTCAGTCACACCCCAGGCTCCTCTTGAGTTTCCATCTGGGCTCTGCCTCCCCAAATCCCCAGCCCCACCTTCCTGGTAAGCTTCATTAGAACTTGTCTTCCTAGGGGGCTGGCAAGCTCAATTGGGAGAGCGTGGTGCAGGTAACACCAAGGTCAAAAGTTTGGATCCCCTTACTGGCCAGCCACCAAAAAAAAAACCTTAAAAAAAGAACTTGTCTTCCTGTCACAGGCTTCAGTTGGGAGTCTCAACTACACTTGAAGCATCACTGCCTGCACCCTTGTCACTCTCCTCAGATGAGACCATCTCAGTTTCTCTTGAGAATCCACAGTGCTTTCAATAGCCCTGTTTGTGCCCCAGAGCCCCATCATCCACCTGAGACCCCCTCAGTACCCACAGCCCTAAGTGGTCACCCCCAGTCACCTTTGTGGGCCCTGAGTCTTCTTGCTGCGTCCCACCCCCGTCTAACTCGCTCTTGTCCCCCCAGATGCCTGCGGCCTCTCAGACCCAGCCCACGTGGAGAGCCTGCAGGAGAAGGCGCAGGTGGCCCTCACCGAGTACGTGCGGGCCCAGTACCCATCCCAGCCCCAGCGCTTTGGGCGCCTGCTGCTGCGGCTGCCCGCCCTGCGTGCCGTGCCCGCCTCACTCATCTCCCAGCTGTTCTTCATGCGCCTGGTGGGCAAGACGCCCATTGAGACACTGATCCGCGACATGCTGCTGTCGGGAAGTACCTTCAACTGGCCCTACGGCTCGGGCCAGTGACTGTTATGATGCTGAATGGCTATGGCCGGGTCTGCAGACCTCAAGGGACATGGATGCTGGGGCCTCGAGGGGGTGTCCCCCACCCCGGGCAGAGTACCCTGGCTTTTCTTCTCAGACTCCTAACTCCTCTGTTTTTTGAAGACTGTGAAATGTTTGTCTTTTTTCTGTTTTTTAAATGATCACAAAACCAAAAAGAGACGATCGCCCAGAACCTCTGGCCAGGTTGCGGGTGAGGGACGGAGGGTTGAATCCTGGGACAGCCTTGTCCCTCAGAGTCCCAAGCATGAACCCGTGGGACGGTGGGGTTGGCTTCTCTGACATGATGGACAAAGGCCTGGCGTCTGGACCAGAGGGGCAGGGGTAACGTGTGCCAGGCGGTCCTCTGGACATGTGACCACGTTGGACACTACATGAATAAGTCAAGGCCAATAATAAAGACGTTTCCTACCTGCACAGCCTCCCTCGCCATCTTTTGGAGGGGAGGGGAGGGTGAAGACCCCCACCCACAACCACAGTCTTTCACCTAACAGCCCAATTAACAGTTTGTGACTGTGTCTGTTTTTGAAGGACAGGTGGAGAAACTGAGGCAGGTGGAGAAGGGGGCCTGAGATTATCTAGTGAGTCTGCAGGATTTGAGCCCACAGATGGCTCTGGCTCAAGTTCAGGCTCTGGTCTGTGAAGGTAAACCTCATGGTTGTTAAGAGTCATACATGTCCTGGACCAAACACCTTATTATTTTCTCTGGTCAGCTCTTAATCATGGTGTCTGGGCTCCAATGCCCTCGGGAAACATCTGGGGCTAGTCCTGTTATGAGATCTCATCCCAAACAATCAGAACTCTCTATTTCCCCGGCCACAGTGTTTGGTTCATGGACAGCATGTGACTCAAAGCTGGCTAGTGAGATTTGATGGCAGGATTTGTAACTGGGAGGATACAATTAAAGCAAGGCAGAGCTAAGAGAGGGCTAATTTCCCAAGATGCCTTTGGAGCCCCTGGATCAAACCATACCTGAAGCCCTTTGGTGTTTAAATACAATGAGCCCAGATTTTCCCTTTTGTGCCTGAGCCAATTTGAGTTCAATTTTTCCTTACACATAATTTAAAAATTCCTGTTTATAGATCGGCACTTGGAAGGTGGGGACCTGTAAGGATAGACTTTGAAATGGGGATTTAACTGAGTTGACATGCAGTGGTACAGGGCACCAGGGACCCAGTCATCCTGGCCATGAGGGTTTGTGGCCCAGCTCTGGGTGGGAAAGGCACCAGTGGGGTTTAGCACCTGGGAGGTAGCTCTAGGAAACTGGTGGAAAGGCCCGAATGGTGGTGGGGGTGGTGCCTCTCACTGAGGCCTGACAAGCCCTCCATCAAAAATGCCCTTCTGGGGCCGGCCTGTGGCTCACTCGGGAGAGTGCGGTGTTGATAACACCAGGGCCACGGGTTCGGATCCCGTATTAGGGATGGCCGGTTTGCTCACTGGCTGAGTGTGGTGCTGACAGCACCAAGTCAAGGGTTGAGATCCCCTTACCGGTCATCTTTAAAAAAAAAAAAAAAAAAAGATCCCCTTACCAGTCATCTTTTAAAAAAAATATAAAAAAGATGCCCTTCTGAAAACAGCAAAGGCCAAACTTAGGTCTCACCTGCAGGCCAGGGCAGCCCGTCCTCCAAAATCCTCCCCGCTGGTCTTTCCTGTGTCCATCTTGGAGGAAGCCTTATGCCACTTATTGTGGAATAAATAAGGGCTTCTCATGCGCATGCCTTGTCCTCCGAAGGGGATGAGGTAGGAGTGGGAAGGGGAGGACATTGGGTCCCCACTGGAGGCTGAATTGGGCTCGGCCCTGGGTCAGGGTCTTTCATAATGTCCTGTAAATGGGTGTATGTTCACTCCATACTGTGGGCTGGACAGCAACACCCCATTTCTCAGATTCACAGCATGATCAGAACTGTATAGGACCATGGCATCTGTCCTGCTGTCGGGTGTCCAGGCCAGAGACTTGGATGTCTGTCCAGCCTGACCACTGAACTCCTACTTGCCCAACAAAACCCCACCCATATTGCCCCTACTGCAGGAAAACATCTCGAGCCTCCCTGGTTGTTAAGAATCTGCTATCCAGCCTTTTATTACTGGGCCCAGGGCTATCTTTCCCAGCCTAGGGGCTTCTTGAGGACCAATCCTGGTGGCCTGGTAGCTGACACTGTCTTCCCTGCCTGCATATGGCCTCCCTGTTGCTCCTGTCTCCTGTGGCTTCCCTGAGAGACCAAGACTCAGAGAGGGCAGCTTCTGGTCCATGGTCACAAGCCCCACAGGGAGCCTGGCCCTGCCTGTACCCCACGCACCTTATCCAGAGCCTGGCATGTGTCAGTCGGCATCAGAGGACCCTCCCCCCAGGCCATGTGTATGAAGTGTGCCCACACAGTGCCTGGCATAAATTGCTGTCCAGTCTCAAGTGCCCAGGGAGAAGTGGAGAATGGACGGACCCACTTGTCTGGGCTGGGGACAGGTCCCCCTGCAGGGACCTTGGGCTGAGTCTGCTGCCTTCAAGTGGTCCCCAGCATCGCATCACGTGAATATTTCAGGAAGCTGCCCTGGCAAGACTTGGGTCCTCTGCCAGTCTTGCCTCCATGAATGGACCTGCACAAGCTCCTGACCACAAGCCTGGCAGATGAGGTGAAGATGGATGTTGGCCCTCATCTGACGGCAAGGCCACTTGGAACTCTTGGAGGAGTGGGAGCCCCCTGGACAGACAAGGGTCAAACCCCATCCAGAGATCCTGGACAAGTCCCTTTGTAGTGGATGGAATTATATCTCCCCAAAACTCACTGAAGCTTGAATGGTGTCCCCCAAATTTTACGTATTAGAAACTTAGCCCCCGGGCCGGCCCGTGGCTCACTCGAGAGAGTGCGGTGCTGATAACACCAAGGCCCCGGGTTCGGATCCCATATAGGGATGGCCGGTTCGCTCACTGGCTGGGCGTGGTGCTGACAACACCAAGTCAAGGGTTAAGATCCCCTTACCGGTCATCTTTAAAAAAAAAAAAAAAAAAAGAAACTTAGCCCCCACTGTGACTGTTAAGAGGGTGGGAAATCCTATTCTGGCAATTGGAAGGTGGGGCCTTGAAGAGGTGATTGGATTGTAGGACCGTGCAGTAGTGAATAGATTAAAAATGGTGGTCAGGGGTGTGGTTCTGAGGGCTTTTAGAAGAAGAGGAGAGTCTGTCTCTTGTTCTCTCTCTTTGCTTCCACCATCTTGCAATATGAGACCCCTGGGTCACGGTCACCACCACCAGATGGACTTTGGACTTCTCAGCCTCAGAAACTGTATGCAATAAATTTTGTTTTCTTTGTAAATCACCCAGTTTCCACGTATTTTGTTGTAAGCAACAAAAACGGACTAATACACCCTTTTTTGGAAACTCATTTTTTTCCTCTGGAAAATGGAAAAACAACTTTTTGGTGACAACTGAGCGAAATCAGGAGTGTTCAGCTGTACACGGTAGGTGTTTAATACATGTTTATTCCACTGGGATGGAGAGCAGGACCTGCTTCCAGGGGACAGGTGGAGATCTGGAGTCCCCATGGAGCCAGGGCTGGGGGTCCTGAAGGGGGGCCTGGGAAGGCTTCCTGGAGGAGGGACCATCACAGCCGAGGCATCTGCAACCAGGGAAGCTACTCCAGGCAGGGGGAGGGGCACGAGAAGAGGCCCGCAGGTAGGAAGAGAAGCGAGGGGTCCCTACCCCCACATGTCTGCCAGGCCGCTCAGAAGTACACAGAGCCCTCGCTGTCTCTTTGGTCGTCAAATTTCTGGATCTGGTTCTTGAGATGCCTCAGTTTACCCTTCAGGTAGTGACAACGCACCTGCTTGTCCAGGAAGCCAGGGTCCTGGACAGGGTGAGAGCCGGAGAAGTCCTTGTGGTAGCCTAGCCTATGGTCTCAAGTTGCTCGACCCTGTGCCTGTCCTCTCTGAGCCTCAGTATTCTCTTCTCGAAACTGGGCAGAAGCATCCCTGCCTCATGGGAGTGTCCAGGTGCAAAGCCCAAGCAGTGGGACCCAAGGGTCACTACTCACCATTCGCTTCTTCTCAAACTCCCTCCAGACACGGGCTGCAACTTTAGCTTCCTTCTGCAAAGAGAGGAGGAGGAAGGGGCTCAGGGAGAGCTGGACCGAGGGAGTGAGGGGGAAACTGAGACTCAGATAGACAAAGTGGTCCATCCAGGGAGGACCTCAAAAGCTGACCTCGACCATGTGTTGTGGCACCCATCTGGCCTAAAGGAGGAGCAGTCCCAGAGATCTAGACCCAATGGAGGTCCCAGAGGCTTGGGTCAGGGCACCCAGAAAGGACTGTGGGGCAGGGATTTCCGCTCAGTGCTGACCTGGCTTTGGGGCCGGGGCAACGAGCTCAGTAGGGCTTCCAGCTGTTGGAGCTTTGCCTGTGCGGACCCCACCTCCTGCTGGAGCTCCAGGAACTCTCCATATTGGTCCTGGAACACTGCAGCATAGCGGCTCCGTTCCCTCTCATTGCTCACCGGTGGGTACTTACTACCGGGTTCAAGGGGTCGGAGGGTGAGTATAAAGATCCCTTCCTTTCCCCCAATCCGTATAATTTGTTTTTCTTTGCCTATATTGGGCTCCCTACTTAAAACGTGCTTTTTCTCTTTTTACTATTTGGTAAACTCTTATTCACCCGTCAAAGTCCCAGTCTCAGTGCCCCTTCCCTGTTCCTAGGCATCAAGAACCACTGGGGGACACTCACAGCTCATAGTCAGGCACTGGGGGAGGCCTAGGCATATGCCCCCTGGGGACGGCTCCAGTAGGCTTCTTGGCGCCCAGGAGGGCCTGGGAGGGCAGCTCATCCTCAAATACAATCTTCTTGGGCCTTGCTTTGTGGGCTCCCGGCAAGGGCTGGCACAGAGGGCGGGGGGCGCCAGTTTTGAGGCCTCCTGCTACCGGTCGCTGCAGACACCGCAGGAATCACGGTTTAGGGTTCACGGGGGAGGGGGTGGTGGTTGGGAAGCCGTATCCCTCATTCTGGGGGGACTGAATCCTCTGCCTAGGCCCGGCCTGGGCGCCCACCCCCGCTCACACTCACCGGGGACCCAGGGCCAGGAGGGCGGGTCTGCGGGTTTCCCCCGGAGCAGCGAGTCTTGGGAGGCTTCCGGGTGTGCATCGGCCTCGGGGAGGCGCCACTTGGTGGTCCCTGGGCCGGTGGGCGGGCCCTGCGGGAGGTGTCGTGGCCCGCGCGTGGCGGGGATGGCCTGCGGGCGGCCTGAGGACACGCGGGCAGAACGGGATGGAAGCGGGGCCGGCGGGAGCGCGCGCGGGGAGGCGGGCCCCGGGCGGCCAACTCTCCACCCGCGCGCGCGCTCCACGGAGCGCCGCCGCTATTTGCATAGACGCACGCGATTAGCCTTCATCGCTCTCCAGACCCCGCCCCAGGATGCGTAACCCGGAAAAGAGCTA